CAAACTACTGAGCACCATTTTGAGTTGCTGTAATGAAATTTCAGCAAAATGGACTAGCCTGCTGCATAATTTTTTCACTTTGATTTTCGATTTGAATTCAGTCCTCTGTAGGTTGATAACATTCATTTCCATCAAACGATAGGGTATCCTTATGTTCCTAACACATTACCCAGTCCATATCAGTATAGATATCCAGCATGATATTTTTCCCCATTAAGGTATGATGTGTTTTCAAAGTGTTCCTTTAATTTTTTGGAGCAGTGTACAGTGCATCCAGAAAGTATTCACAGCGCTTAACTTTCACCACATTTTGTTATGTTACAGCCTTATTCCAAAATTAATTAAATTTATTTCTTTCCTCAACATTCTACAAACAATACCCCCTAATGACAACATGAAAGGAGTTTGTTTTGAAATCTTTGCAATTTATTAAAAATAAAAAATGAAAAAAACCACATGTACATAAGTATTCACAGCCTTTGCCATGACACTCAAAATTGAGTTCTGGTGCATCCTGTTCCCACTGATCATCCTTGAGATGTTTTCACTTGATTGGAGTCCAGCTGTGGGAAATCAGTTGATTGGACATGATTAGGAAAGGCATAAACCTGTCTATATAAGGTCCCACAGTTAACAGTGCATGTCAGAGCACAAACCAAGCCATGAAGTCCAAGGAATTGTCCTTAGACCTCTGAGACTGGATTGTATCAAGACAGATCTGGGGAAGGGTACAGAAAAAATTGCCCAAAAATAGGTGTGCCAACCTTATAGCATCATACTCAAAACGACTTGAGGCTGTAATTGGTGCTAAAGGTGCTTCAACAAAGTATTGAGCAAAGGCTGTGCATACTTATGTACATGTGGTATTTTTTATTTTTAATAAATTGCAAAGATTTCAAAACGAACTTCTTTCACATTGTCATTATGGGGTATTGTTTGTAGAATGTTGAAGAAAAAAATGAATTTAATCCAATTTGGAATAAGGCTGTAACATAACGAAATGTGGCAAAAGTTAAGCTCAGTGAATACTTTCTGGATGCGCTGTATATATCCTGGAATCTATAACTTTCAGACCCATCTTCTTTTTCTTTTACCAGATAAATATAGCAGAATACATTTTGGCCTTAGAGTATTTGCAAAGTTTTATAACTGAAACTAAGAAACATTATTTTTTTTTTTCCTTTTTCATATGGCAAAAAATATCCATGTCCAGCTCTTAGAATGTACCCATATGACCTCAGGTGGAAGTAGATATACCAGGATTATAGCTGCAACCATATTCCTAGTATTAAGCTTTTCAGCTGGCAATGGGCTCTACTGTAAAAGTGATCCAAGTGGATCTACAGCTGCCCAATCACTTTTATTCGTCATGGAAGGGGCCTCTGCCTTCTGCCACTGTTCTCGAGCCCTCCTGTTCCACAAGGGAACCTGGGACTGCTGCAAACCCTCTGAAACAAAATCCTCATCCTATTCTGTTCCTTTTGTCAGTTTGTTTACAAGCCGTCACTGGCCAGACAAACATTTGATCGAACAGATCTCCTATGGAGATTTTTAGGTAGGTTTGTCGCTATTTCATGCAAAATTTATATCTTGACATGATTTGTTTTTTTACACTTGGCACAACATAATCTTTTAGCAAAAGTATTTTGTGTTTGTGTGTACTGAAATGCATGTAAATGTATTTTTTCCTTTGCAATTAGCATTTTGAAAGCTGACTGTGCAAATATTGTGTGATAAAAAATTGCAACAACCAGCATTTTATTTTCCAGGGACTCTGATTTCAGAAAATGTTTGCGTATTCTAGGTAATTCTCTAGCACAAAATGCTGATTTTAACATGTAAAATGTGAAAAGGGCTGAATTTGGTGTGGACAGAAAGTGGTTTAAAACTATTAAATCTAAAACCAAAAATATAATGTATTGCAGTTTACCAATCCTTAGATGTGGTGGATGCATTAGTTTTGTTTTTTTTTTAGGCTTTTTTCCTGTTTTCTCTGGTGATCTGGCTAGTAACACACCTCCTCTATTAGAGTGCTTACACTCTGGATAAAACAGGGGCGCATTTGGACAGCAGCATTGACAGTCTGGGGGGGAGAGGAATGTTAGATGTACTAGCAGATTTAGATACACTATTTTTTTGTTGTACCCTTTGGGATAAAGGTTTTAAATGAATAAATAAAAGGTGATCATCATAAGCACCTCTGTTAGTGATAAATAGTTTATCATCCCTGTATCTGCTACACCTGCAGTTATTCTGTTGAAAAACAAACTTACTGGCCAAATCACCAGGTGAAAATAAAGAAAACTGCCTAAAAATAAAACTAATACAGCCATCACATCTATGAATTGGTAAGAGCTGCAATATAATGGTGGCTTTTTGGGTTTTAAAAAATCTATAATAACACCATATTCTCTGTTTCAAAAAGAGAATTATTTTTTTGTACAGTGTTGAATGACTGAGTACTTGTCATTCAAATTGTGATTTAAAATTGAAATTGTCTGTACTGGCATGGAGGTGTAACAGTCTGCCCTCAAGTGGTTAAATACTTTCTGTTTGAGTTTTTTTCTTCTAAACTATTTTTTTTTTGTCGAGATTTCTCAAAAAAAAAAATCAACCTGCTGTTAGAATAACTTGAGCTTAGTGAAATGACTACCTAGGATGATGCAGATTTTGCTGTACACTAATGACTATGCACACAGATAAACATGATTTTCACACTTGTGTTGTAAATGCACATCTAAAGACATGGACAGCTAGAGAATTGCTCTCAGCCTGCATGCCTTTAGTATTGCGTATATTCATGCCTGAAAAGTAATATGAGTGCAGAGTAAATGGTGAGCTGGTACTACCATGACGTTTTTCCTCTACACCTGTTAAAGTATGTGAGATTTGATATGCAAGCTTTCCAGTTCATACATACAACACACTGAGCAGAGTTTACGTGTGTAAAGTATTCAATCCCTTACAAAATGGAGATACAATTTATGCAGCAGCATAAGTCAAAAATATATCTATCAATTTGTGGTTTTAGGTATGCTCCTGGACTGAAGTAAATACGTTCTGTAGAATTACAGGAGATATACAGGAGATATCTCCTTGGCCCCATCCCACTAAAGAATCTCCCACATAAACAATAGGAATATTATTTTTTCTACTTGGATATCTGTAGTGTAAAAATACAGCAATATGAAGCAGTTCCAGCCTACAGTTATGGCATTAAGGGCATAAATCCTTTGGGATGGAGGCAGGTATGCAATATTTTATACATCTATCTTGTAGGGAAATGCTTGCAAACCAGAATTAGAATTTGAATGGCCTCAATTTCTGGGTTACAACCTAAAACAAGATTTCTGTTATCAAAATCTCATTTCTCTACCCCTCTTCTCCATCCCAGAGCTTGTACATATAATCCTCACTTTTACCATCTCCCTACTACTGCTCTCATCACCTCCTGCTAATACTTAACCCACCTGCTGACCCAACACCACAACAGGGAGGCATGTGCACTCATATACATCCCACTCCCATCTTACTTTCCTTACCTTCCCTCTCCTAACCTCGGGGGATATCTCCCCTAATCCTGGTCCTTCAGTATCTCACCCCCACACCAGGAACCCTCGTTACTCCAGCAATAGCCACAATCCACTCAATCTTAGTTAATCTTGATCCCAAGAACCACCCCCCTTTTTTATGTGAACTCTGGAATGCCCGCTCTGTCTGTAACGAGCTCACCCCTGTCCATGACCTTTGTCTCCCACTCCCTTACCCTACTTGCAATTGCACTAACCTGGCTTCAAGCATCAGATTCTACCTCTCCCGCAGCCCTCTCCCATGGTTGCCTCCACTGGTCTCGCTCACCAAGACCCAGTGGTTGGAAAGGAGGTGGAGTTGCTTTGCTTCTATTCCCACTGAGCACCTTTCAAGTCCTACCTACCTCTCCTCTATGCTTCTCTTCTTTTCGAGACTCGCTGTATTCGTCTGTTTTCTCCCATTTCTCTGAGGATTGCAGTGATCTATCAGCCTCCTGGATCAGTGTCACACTTTCTTGACTTCTCTGCCTTGCTACCCTACTTTCTCTCCTCTAAAATACCCGCTCTCATTCTTGGTGATTTTTACATCCCCATTTTTACATTCCCACAGCCCAGCTACATCCCAACTTTCAAGCCTAACCTCATCTTTTGCCTAACACAATGGACACAGTCCTCCACTTACTCTGATAGGAATACCCCTAGACCTTATTTTCTCCCATCTTTGTACTCCCTACAACCTCTTCAATGGCCTCAATCCCTTTCCTCTCTCTGATCACAACCTCATCATATTCAGTGTCCTTATCTTCAACCACCAATCCCTCCAAGCAGCGAACAAGTACCCACGGAAACCTTCACTACTTTAATCCTTCTCTTTTCTACCTTGCAACTGACCACCTTTATGACAGAATCTCTCCCCTGTCCTTCCCTGACCTGGCCACTTCTGTGTACAACAGTTCACTTTCATTCACACTGGATTCCCTTGCTCCTCTAACTACACAAAGTATTTAGGCCTCTACCATTGCAACCTTGGCAGATTGATGACACCATCAATCTTAAGAGAGACACAGCCATGCACTGGAGCAATTGTGATTTAAAACCAAATCCCAGCAAGCATTCTCTCTCTCTCTGTCAGGAATCCCAGAGATCACCACGGCGCACGAATCTGCACAGGTGTAGGATCCCGACAAGACATACAGGCAGGCGGGCACTAGGACCCAGGCGCGCCTGTCACCAATGATGACTGGGCAGGCACTAGGACCCAGGCGCGCCTGTCGGCGCCGGGTGGGCTATTTAAACCAGCCCGTGCAATGCTCACATAGCCGTATGGTCTTCATTCCCTGTTCCCTGCTCGTCTGTTCCTGCGTGAGATACCTTGTTGCCGACCCTGCTTGATCCTGACCTCTTCTGACCGTCTCCTGCTCTGATCCCTGGCTCGTCTGACTATTCTTTTGCTTACTCCTGATTACCTGACCTCCTGTTGCTGAAACCTGGCTTGTGACCCGACTACTCTCTATTCGCTGCCCTGTACCGTTCTGCCTCTGCTTTTACCGACCTGGCCTGCCTGACTACGCTACACGTACTCTGTCATCCATCCATCCTGCACGGATCCGGTCACCACTGCCCAGGTCTGCCAGCCTCTTCACATCAGGCTCTCTTCCGATACATACCTCCGGCGGTTCCCTCTACCACAGTCGGGTGCACTCAGGGGTCGCAACCTGGTCTCAGTCTGCTCCAAGTCCATCCCCACCATCAGGGGCCCTGGTGAATAAGCAGATTGGGGCTTAGACCCCGCGCCCTGGGGAATCCCGTTCTGTGGGTTGCTAGAGATACCGCCGTGTGGATCGTGACACTCTCTCTCTTTCTCTCTCTCTCTCTTTCTCTTTCTCTCTCTCTCTCTCTCTCTCTCTCTCTCTCTCTCTATATACCTTCTTAAAATACAATTCCTCCATCCATGCTGCCAAACAAGACTAATTTGTCACTCTTATTAATATCTTGTCATCCAGTCCTTGTCTCCTCTCTACTTTTAACTTTCTACTTTCTTCATCACCCCCACCCAGTAACCCACTCATTGCTCACAAGATTGGCAATCATTTCAAATACAAGATTGATGCAATTTGTGGGGGCATCTCCACTGTACAGATATCTATCACACTTGGCATACCCTATATAAAAAACACCCTCAACACTTTCCTCTTTTCACCTTACTACTACCAAAGAGGTCACTAAGGTTTTCTCAGAGGCCTGCCTTACCACCTGTCCCCTGGATCTTGTTCCCTCACAACTACTACAGTCACCCTCTTCTATCCTATGCTCTCTCATTCACATTTTCAATCTCTCCCTCTCAACTGGCACCTTCTCCTCCCCACTAAAAAAAGGGGCTGGTCACCCCCATACTTTAAAAGCCCTTACTGGACCCCACCTCCCTACTCCCGTTTACCTCTAAACTCTTAGAACGCTTATTCTACAATCGTCTGATCTCCTACCTCACAACAACTTTCTTGACCCCTTAGAATTTGGCTTTCGCTCACTGCACTCCACTAAAACTGCCCTATTAAAACTCACTAATGATTTACTAACTGCTAAAACCAATGGCCACTACTCCATACTCTTTACTACAAGACCCATCTGCAGCTTTTGATACTGTTGACCATCCCCTCCTAGAAAAAAAAACTCCACTTTCTTTACCTTCGAGACTCTGCTCTCTCCTGGTTCTCCTTCTACCTATCAAAGTGCTCCTTCAGAGTTACCTATAACTCTGTCTCCCCCTCCTCTCCACTTCCTCTTGCTGTAGGGGATCCCCAAGGTTCTGTCCTCAGACCCCTTCTCTTCTCCATTTACATCTCCTCCCTTGGTCACTTGATAAACTTACGTGGCTTCAAATGCCATCTTTATGCTGATGACACACATATCTATCTTTCCACTCCTCATCTCACTCCTTCAGTCTCCTCTGGCATTACTAACTTACTGACATATCAGCATGGATGTCACACCACTTCCTCAAATTCAGTCTTTCTAAAACTGAGCTCATATTCTCTCCAGCCCTTGCCCCCTCCTCTAACTTCTCCATCAAGATCAATAATACAACCATCAGTCCCTTTCTTCATGCCAGGGTGCTGGGTGTAATCCTGGACTTCACCTCTGTGACATCTCCAAAAAACTCCCTTTTTATCTCAGCTGTTGGTTAATTACCAGCCCCTCATTGTCTCCACAGTGACTCACTTGGATACCATTACCTGCCTCATTAGCCCAACCTACAGCCAGCCATTTTGCTATTTTATCAGTTTAGCTCATTTTCTCAACACGCTGATCTCCAGTGTGTTCTGCCTGTGCTCCTGTGTACAACTCGGTCTGGCTGACGTCTCTTCCAGTTCCTGCTCCTGATTTTTTGGTTCCTGACTACGCTGACTTTTGGTTTCCTAATCCTGGCTTTTCTGATTACCCGCACTGGCATTTCATTAAAGGTGTGATTTGAACTGAAATTTTGTCTCTGCCTGGTTTATGGTTCCTGACAAAAACATTAACAATAAAATATAAAGCTATTTACAACTCCACTCCAAACAACATCATCAATCTTGTCTCCAAATATTACCCTAACTGTCCGCTCTTCCCAAGACCTCCTGTTCTGTAGCCCGTGTATCCTCCTTTCATGCTCGTCTTCAGGACTTCTCCAGAGCCTCTCCCATCCTCTGGAACTCTCTGCCCCAATCTTTCTGACTATCTCCTACTCTGTCCACTTTTAGGCAATCCCTGATAATCTATCTCTTCAGGGAAGCCTATCCTGTCTTAAGTTAATAACCAGATCTTCTATTTATTCCAGCAGTTCATCCTTTTTGTTCCACAATCCCTATTAGATTGTAAGCTCCCAGGAGCATTGCCCTCCTAACCCTCTTGTATTGAACTGTATTGTTGCTTTACTGTCTTCCTTTATAGCATAAAGCGCTAAGCAAATTGTTGGCGCTATATAAATCCTGTATAATAATATAATAATTTCAGATCAGCAGGTCTGACTTCACTGCATGTTCACTTGCTCCACGTTTGTTCTAAGTCATTGATTTAGGGTTTATTGAAGACAGACCACCTTGCAAGTTTTTGGAAGTCAGTAGTACAGGGTTTCTTTAGATCATAAGATCATTGCAGTAACCTTTTAATTAAAAAATGTTAAAACTGAACTCAAGCTTTACTTTAAGTCTTGTTGTCCATGCTCCACTCCTGTACTGAAATGGCTTACTCTTATTTTACTGCATACTGTCAGCTTTGAGCATAAGAGATGCTTAGAATGTGACAAGGGTTTTTTAAGCAGTCTGACCTCTGCCCTGTTCAGTTTGTCTTCTATGCAATCACTTGTCAAAACATTCACCTGCTGCGGAGTCATACTGGGCTTGACGCCCAGTTTAAGCTCCAGCCAGATGTCCAGCTAACATTTAAAGTCTTGGCGTGTGTGTGTTAAGCTGTGGCCTTTTCATACTTAAGATTAGTAATGTTATGTTTATAGCTTCAATTATGTTTTGTAATATAATTTTCATTAGAAATGGTAAAAGTTATTTTGATTTCACTTATGAACATTTCACACTATATACATTCATAACACAGTATAACATAATTCTCCATCATATGTTCCATCAGGTTGTGTGGCAATATATTTATTGATCCTCCACAAAGGAGTTTTGCCAAATGAACATTTAGAATGCAAAATGTAAAATTAGAACTAAAGGGTAAATGCGCATATATATATATATATATATATATTTTTTTTTTTTATATAGTGGAGACGGATAAGGTTAGGGTCTTTACTGCTGTCTGTGTCCCTATTGAGAAGAATAACCCTCTTTGTCCTGGATCTGATAATGATGATGGTGATAAGGAAGGAAAATGTTATTTTCAGAGGTCACCAGAACTGGAATAGAGGGTAAATATTTGAAATGCATACTAGTTCTGGTTGACCACCAATTGAGGGCACATCTGTTGTGGCTAAGGGACAGTAAGTGAAGGGAAAACTCCCAATAGTACACAGATGGTAAAAAAACTTGACTGGTTATAACCCTTCTCTACTCTATGCATCCAAAATAAAAATACCTTCTCCTTCCACTGCTGTCTTAACTGTTAATGCTAGCGATGCTACTGCTTCCATGGCTCTCCTGTGTATGATGATACCACTTTAGATGTGCCAGTCCCCTTGCAAGCTCAGCCTGCCTTGCTTAACCCTTTGGTTACCACTGCATCTCCTACCCCTACTGGTGAGTCTGACACCTTGCAATTGTTATTAAGTTAGTCTAATTCTTTTTCTAATCTAACAGTTTTAAATGTGCTTTTGCTTCACCTCCAACTGTTTGTACGTCTGATGAAATAATCCAAGCTTGGTCTGATCTGGCTAGTCCTGCTGTGACTTCCCTTGCTTCTGTGCTATGCAATGTTCCTGTTTCTACTGTTATGGCACACTACCCCTTCCAATTCTGCTTCGGTGCCTGAAAGCTGTCTTAAGGAAGCTTAGGCATTTGAAATTTCCCCTTTGTCCGATTTACCTGAATGAAACCCCAAAGAGAATTTAGAGGTGATTATGTGGATCTCCCCTCATATTTGCCGTGCATTAAGGGCAGTAGGTTAGAAAGGAAAGATCCTGACAAAGGCAGTGATGATAAAAAACAAGATGGCCCCCCCGTTTTTATTAACTGGCTGCAAGTCTACACCAGCATCATTGGTGAAAAACACCCTGAGTGTTGCAATGTTATGTTCAAGCACATTGAAATTATACTGGAGGCTTACAAAATTTGGCTTGCTTGGTTTCTCTGTAATGTATCGTTTTGTGAAAAACTATTGTTATGATCCGCCAGGTGGTGCCTATGGCAGCCCACTGGACAGACCTACCCAGAGCGTGGAATCAAAGTCCCGGTCTGTGCTTTCACCAGGGCCCCGATGGTGGGGATGGACTTGTAACAGACCAGGGCCAGGTCACGACCTCTGAGCAGGCCCTCCAGCGGCAGAGGCAACCTCCGGGGATGTAAAGGTACCGGGAGTAAGCAGTCCCGTGGAGTAAGCGAGGTACAGAATCGTCAAGCCAAGAGTAGTCAGGTCACACGCAGGGTCAGCAGGATAAGTCAGTCCGCAGATAGGTCAAACAAGCCGTGGATCAGGAGAGGAGAGGGCAGAGTAGTCAGGGCAATCCGAGTCAAATACAGGCAAAAGCAGCGTAGTCAGGACAATCCGTGTCAAAGCACAGGAGAAGGCAGCGTAGTCAGGGTCAATCAGGGTCTCAACACAGGTACAGGAACTCAGGAACACAGATAGACCTTGCGGCAATTAGTGACAGTGCAGGGCATCTTTAAATATCGCGCCCTGCACTGTCATTGGCCGCCCAGGAAGCGCCCCCGGCTGTCATTGGCCGCCCGAGGCGCGCCCGCGGCTCCTAATGCACATGTGAGGCCTCCTGTCAGCCGCGCCCCGCCGGGACCTGGTGCTTGTGTCCCGGCGTGAGCCGCCGCTAGTGCGCATGCGCCAGGGACAGAGCCGTGGCGGTCCCTGACATTGCCCCCCCCCCTACGGGCACCCTCCGGGAGCCCCACTGATCTCTCCACCGCGGGTGGCTACGTAAGAACTCCCGGATGAGCCTGGGGGCGTGAACATTCTGGATGGGTTCCCAAGAGTTCTCCTCAGGGCCATAACCCTTCCATTTTTATCAGGAACTGCGTCTGGCCCCCCTCTTTCGGCAACTGAGAATAGTTTCTACTTCATATTCTTCTTGTTCACCTATGGTGCCTGCCTCGGGAGGTCTGGATTCACAATCCGGGAAG